GTCAGAAAGGAGTGAAAAGCCTTTCCTGGTAAAGAGTGCAAAGAAACATCTGCGACCTTTTTGTATTTTCTGCTTTAAGTTCAGGAAATGATTTCAGGGTGGACTGGAGGTTTTTGCACTGAAAACAGTAACCCCCTCCTAGGTAGAGTGTACCTCTACCAGAGTCATGCCAGGTAGAATGCTAATTTCATGCTCAGGTGATGTGACGACTTAAGCTAAAAACTAATGAACCCTTTCAGTGCTCCTGTTTTGCTTCTGAATAATCAGTGTACACATAACTCCTCAGATTTCTACTGCTTAGAAATTGTTTTGTTATTTGACTTTCTCAACACAAGTTCCCAGATTGGCCGCTGGTCTACAACAGCATTTTGAAAAACATTACCCCTTGTAGAAACTATTACGTGGTTTATCCTAAAATACTAACAAAACTACTGGTGGGCAGAGAGTTACAGTTGAAGTATTTCAGAAAACTGATTAAGTGTAGAATGTAACTTGTCTCCATCTAAGTAAGTAGATATTCAACCCATTATGACAGCGCTGAAACAGTTTGGGATACGGGTAGGGAAATTAAAGAGCTGCTTGTGAGATTAAACGAAGGAGAAAGATTAATTCCTGTCTGAAATAATTTGAAATACTCAAGCTGAAACATTTTTCAGGCTCTTAAGTTGAAGATTATAGTTAGTATTGATAATACGTCTTCTTACATTAGTGTAGATCTGTTCTCTTACAGCCTTCTGCAAAGTCACCTTTCTTGCAGATAAAGCAAAGAAATGAAACTGAGAATTTTCTCCTGGAAATGTGTATTTTGACTATACTTCTCAAAAGAAATAAAAGCCTTGTGATCGTGGTAAGATCAATTTCTGTTAATAGTCTAAATTTTAAAACAAATTCTGCTTCTAAATTAAGATACTTGCCAATTCTGGGTAATTAAATGAATCAAATTCTAGTGTTCTCGACCAACTTTAGTGAGATGTGGTTGTTACAGAAATTATCTGGAAGTTGCACTAATTTTAACATCCTCCTATTCAGAAAAATTGCATGACTGATAGCACTTCAATCAATTTTATAGCTATAAAGAGGATTATTTCTTTGAAATAAACAGACAATTTAAGCACATTTAACGAAACTGTATTTAGAGCTTTCTTCCAGACTTACCTCTAGGAAGAGAGTGATATATTTAGGAGAATTTTGGTTTTTTGAGAACTGGTAAGAACTCAGTTAATCTTGGAGGTAAGCCATACAGATCTGGTAAGCTTCCTGATCCTCCCGTGTTCACCACCCAGAAGGACATGTGGGGCTGATTAAGGTTGATTCTTAATTTTGCTTGTTATAAACATACCTGCTTTTTTCCCCAGAGAAGATATGCAGGTTGCCTGTAAAACATGCAACTTGAATTTATTTTTTGTTGGAACAATTTTGAAGAATGATGTCAAAATCCTTATCATGAGAATCCAAATATCTTGCATAAAGGTAGAGACTGAGAACATCCAAGGAAATGTGAAGATGAACATGTGTGTACTTCCTACTGAAATTCAAGTCTGGATATGGGGCTCTTCACCAGAAGGTATCAAACTTCCTGTAAGGAAGTAAAATATAGATTGATTTAATGGTGCCTCAGCTTCTGCTAAGCTGCTTAAACATAAATCATGATGTTACTGTGAGCTATATAGAGTTTAAAAATTCTCCCACATGAAGTAAGTGTATCACTTCATCTAAGAGGACTTTGGAGTCAGGACAGCACGAAGGATT